TGTATCATTGGGAAAAAGCAAAGCAAAACTCTTATCTGAGTATTACTTACAAGCATCACAAGCTAAAATGAACCTTTGTGAACATCAGCTGGCATTTGCAAGGCTAACCTTCTGGCAGATCCTAAACACTGGGTCACAACAATCAGGAGCGCAGCCATTGCAAAATATAATATGCAGCTGACAGCTGGCACATTAGTTTGAGTTTGATTGGGACCATATGGGCAGCGGTGAGTAGCTGACATGACCTGAAACACCCCTGGTAGGATTCAAATTACAGAGCGTTCTTCAGAAAGATAACGCTTCCAAATACATGATGGTCCTGTAGTGACCATTACTGCCTGCCAAACAGCTTAATCAGGTTTTATCACAACATTTGGAGGCATGGAGCATCTGTAAGGTCTGAGAGAAGCAAAGCTAAATGGCAAGATGGACTAGACATCAGCACCTTGTGTTAAAAAGGAGTTAAAAGGTTTGTAAGAGCTGGAGCACAATAGTTCACAGTAGAAGACGTTTAAAGTGAATGTGCGACAATATTCTTTAGATACTAAAGGCGAAGAATTTATCAATAACACCTCTCACACTGAGACTTACATGGTTTTGTTCAGTTTAGAACTGAACAAAGCAATGCTATGTTGTAGGGTTGTCAAAACAATCACTATAGTAAATATGTTCCAATACAAGAAAATAATTCATATTGAGAGCCATTTGTGTAAAAAAAAAAAAAACTCTATTATGTTGTTATTCTGAGACAGAGCACACATTTGAATCATGTGCATTTCTTCATTTGTGCTATTTCAGATATTTCTATCTGTTTTAGATCCAGAGATGTCTTCTTTCTACCTGGAGTAATTTTTAGTCATTTTGTGTGTTTGCTCTATTAATATCAATGGCCCTTCTATAAGTAAAAATATAAAAACCATGTGAAATGTTTAGTCACTGTGTGGTGACAATACATAGCCATAGTTAAGTACAACCGGTCAACAGTAATAAAAAATATTTCTGATCAGACCCATCCATCCATCTTCTCTTGCTTATCCTATCAGGGTCATGGTGGGGTTGGTGCCTATCTTCGGCAGTCCGTGTGCAAAAGGTGGGGTACACCCTGGACAGGTTGCCAGTCTGTGCAGGTTGAAACAGACCCTTTTATGCATACCATAAATCCTATAATATTGGCCTGTATTCCATTAGCGGCCGGGTCTCGCTGTCGGCGGAGGTAAATAATGGCCGGACTCGTATACAGGCTATACTTAGAACCAATGATGTTCCTGGGCAGTTCTCAACAACATGTGATAGTAACACACAAGTACCACAGATACAGATTACAGTTATAATCTTTATTCTGTAAGTGGCAAAGAGTTGGGAATGGAATGAGGTCCTTCAGCTAAAAACAAAGTGTAATATGTTGATATGGCTGGAGCCATGGATGTCTCCTAATCTGCTAACGTGTATGATGTAATGATGTTATGATGTGATGATGAGGCAGACTGGAGATGTATAAAATGCTTCTCTAACTGTTTATCGAGGCCCACTTCATAAGATGTGAGCCAAGTTGGTAAGTGCTGCCTTCTGTAACCCTAAGCAACTTCTCTAATCTGAGTAAGATTACAATTTCTATCAAAATCTGTTGTCTCCCAGTTATTTAATGCATATATATTATGAAGTGTTATTTAAAGAGTTTTTCCCAAGTGATCTCTTTAAAAAAAAAAAAAGCTGTAGAGAGAGCTTCAAGGTGTAAATACAGAGCTTTCCTTTAACAAATGGTGTTTCCGCCCAGACCTGAATAAGTTGTATCACTCCAGCAAAGCCACCGGTGGACCAAGCACACAGAGGAGGGGAGATTCCCTTTTAAATCTCTCGAGTACTTTTTAAGGATTTTTTTCCTGGGTTCGGCGAGCTTTGGGTTCTCAGACCGCCAGAAAGAATGCCGCAAAATATTGTGGGTTTTTTTTAGCACTTAATCTACTGAGGTACAATTTGAATTTACATGTCATACCTTGGGCATAAAATACCCAAACATTAAGCTCTCGGGACTTAGATTGTTTTAAATTAAACTTTCTACTGTGAAAATTTGATTCTGTAGTTCAAACAAACAAAGTCTTTCACTAGATCAAATAATATCACAGATTAATTAGATCCATTTGATGAATTTAAAGTTCCTGGGAATGAATAGGGCTGTACTGGGAACACAGGTCGCCTAGTATTGATAAAAGGACAGTAAAACACATGAATGGAAACATAATTTCTTGTGACAGTGCATGCACACTGACTTTTTTAGTATTTATGTTTGATCAATTTAGATTTATAGCAACCCAGTCCTGTTATCCTATAAGAGGCTGCTTGTTCTACTTTACCTGCTGAACAATGTATACCTTTCAATAACACGTAGAAATCCAGGCAAAAAAATAATAATAGAAGCAAAACATGATTATTGATGATCAAATGTTTATTTGCCAGAATATGTGACTGAATCATATTTTTTTAGAAACATTAAAATGTGCTCTTAAAGGTGCTCTTCACTTCATCTACCCTAAATTTTTAAAGCTCAATACCTTATCTCTCTCTCTCTCTGAAGTTTTGCTCCACTTGGGAGTGTGGATCAGCATGTCGCAGCTGTATACAGTGAAGTTACAATAATAATTGAGGTATTAGAGGGCTCCCAGACCAAAAAATACTCAATTACTATTTAGTGAGAATAAAGATAACCCAGATGAATGAGAAAATCACACAAGTGTGAACTTTTTTTACTGTTTGGAAGATGAGGTAATGCAACCATAAACTGATGTCAAATGATAGTAACAACCTAGATTACCCTTACCCTTAAGGCTCACCATCCCACTATCTACCCTAAGCGTATTTGTTTGGCTAAAAGCCCTGACCCAAAGCCCACAGGGACCCCCAATCAAATCCCTGTTAAGCCTGGCAGTGGCAGGTTAAATGTTATTGGCTCTGGCACATACTCGCTCGCCCACTTTTGGTCTGATGTTTCAACAGAGGCCACTAAAGCAGCAAAGTCAGAGCGGCGCTCCAAAGAGCCAACGGGTGAAATTAGAGCTCTGCTTTAGCTTCTGAGGCACTGGTACACCACCAGACCACAACAAGAAACACAGAGAAATATTGTCTGCTTGACTAACTTTTGCTAGAATGCAGAACATGTTTGAAAATGGCTAAATTCTCCATCAAAATTCTACAATTTGCATGATTAAATCAAAACGTGCTTAAATCTAACAGACTTGTACATAACTATATAATACTCATAAAGCAAACATCTGAGATGGTTGCTCAAAAAAGAAAAACCTCTATTGCATCAGCTTGGCCAAAAAAATAAAAACTACTTTTGCCAGGATGGATGGATGGATGGATGGATGGATGGATGGATGGATGGATGGATGGATGGATGGATGGATGGATGGATGGATGGATGGATGGATGATCAGTTAAAACACATGTTTTTCTTATAAAATCACCAGACTTCTTTCTAACTTCATAGCAATCCCTCACATTTGACAATTTTAGTATTTTAGCTTAACGTTCATTTTACTTTAACAAAATATCAACTTTCAACCAAAACTAGCTTTTGCACAAAACAGATCAAACCTACTTTATACTGTAAATAAACATTCCATTGGGTTGTGTGGGATGTGAGGTGCTGTCTGCAGGAATCTGGGCATGTTCCCGCCAGAAACCCTTCATGTTCTTTGAGCCATTCCATGTTGGTTTCAGTGATGTGGCAGAATGCATTGACCTGCTGGGACAGGCCACTGCCATCTGAGTGAGATTGTGCTTGATCTCGTGTCAGTTGTGACTCATTGTATAATCCACACGGATGCCAAGATCAACGAGAACATTTCCATCGAAAAGATGATTAAAGGTTTTCACTTCAACTGTCAGCAGCTTAAAAGTTAGCTGACGGATGCAGGTGGAGCTCAGGATAAGAAGCAACATGAAAAAGTAGGAATGCATTCAGCTTTCTACTTGTTCTCTGCCTTCTATTTGTTTAAAGTACCTCAGAAGAAAGATGACTTGTTTTGCAAATTAGACTCATACCAAATGAGATTAGCAACCTCGCAAGCTTTATTGCTGTACAGGCTTCCATTTAAATGAGGCAATTTCTCACAGATGAAAATACAAAAAAATTAAGATTCACACAAAGCAAGGCAAGCTGCTAGATTAAACAGCTGAGATAGCTTTCATAATGTTGCAACCGAGCAACCAGCTGGACATGTTTACATTACAGAACAGTGACGACACCTCCATAAGATGCAAACTCCAACCATCGTCCTTGGAATAATAGTGTTTCTCTAATATTGTGTTTCTTCGGAGAGTAACTTAAAGTGTTGCTTTAAGTAGATAAAGTTTAACTCCAGCTCCGGAGTAGTGAATCTCTGTCATCCAAATATACAGTGAAAAAACGAAACACCTCATGTTCATGTGCTGTGAAATAAACAGTGGGACCTAAAAAAAGTGTTTCCTTTAGACAGATTGTCAGAAAATCTATAAAAGGAAGAAAAAAAATCAACCTTTTAAAGAGACAGGCCGAGGCTTAAGATTGATTTTCATGGATTTTAGCTTAAAGTGTTCTGAACTGACTCACAAACTCAGTCATAACACTGTTTATAGCATGTCAATGATAGTGCAACACAGGTTTGAAGTCATATGAATCACATCTTTCTGACATGCCTGCTGTGACAAAACCCAGGGAGGCCTGATTAAAGCTGCAGACTGCCTGCAGCCATTTAAATCAACAAGCCTCTCCTCTATATTGTGTAGCCTAAAGGCACGGTGTCAGTTTGCTTTCACTTTCTTAGCTACTGCTCTTCTATTCAACACATAAGGTGTCAGAGTATAAAAGGGACACAGAGCAGGAATAATAAAAAAGAGCTTTTTCTTTAAACATCAAACAAACAAGATTGAAAGACACGCCACACATTTGAATTTCTAAAATGCAGGTCTAGAAGGAAATGCAAGCTTACTGACAGCAGCAGAAAAACACAGTGTCCTACCTTTTACGATGAGGTTGAGGAGCTTCGGCCGTGGGTTGCGTTCGCTCTGAATCGAACACGTGTATTGCCCGTCATCGGTTACGTCCACCTTCTGTATCTGAAGGCTGTACTCATGTTTGTCTCCAACACTGGACACTATGGACACGCGTGGGTCCACGGACCACTTGTCATCCCCTGCAAAAATGATGCTTGAGCGGTTCAGCCAGGCTCCTTTAGAGATCCCATCCAACAGGTAGCACCTAAATTGACAAGAACGATTCAGTTAGATTTCTTTAAAAAAAAAAACAGATTTATTTGACATTTTTTTGTTTGTTTTTTTTACACACAAAATGCAACTATCAATGCTGTGAAAACTATGTCATCCATTTCCAGCACGGCTAGAGTCTGTTTTGCATGGTATTAATCTTATTTCAGCTAACAGTTTGTTTATTAATATCAAAAGTATTAATACCACTTGAACTGTTTTGCATATTTTATATTACAACTTCAACCTATAATATATTTCATTGGGATTTCATTTGAAGAACAGCAAAGAGTAATGCCTTGGATACATCATACATTGTGAAGAATGGTGGTTGCAACATAAAGCTTTGAAGAAGGTTTTCTTTAGATGATGAGATAAAAGATAGAACTAAATACTAGTAAGCCAAGAGAAATCCCCTGTTAGAAGCTACACTGAATCTGGGACTGGAGCAGAGGTACTGCTTTAAGCAGGACAAAAACCCCAAACATACAGCCTGAGCTAAAATGGAATGATCTAGATCAAAGCATATCACCGATGGATTGACCTAGGTCAAGTCCAAACCTAAATCGCAAACAGAATCTGTGGGAAGACTTCAAATTTCTGTTCAAAGGTGTTCTTCGTCCAATCCCACTGAGTTGAGCTGTTTCTCAAAAGATGAGTAACATTTTTTTTCTCTAGAGGGAAACCTGATCCAGATGGACCATAAAATAATAATAAAAATAATAAATAATAAATAATAAAAAAAAAACTGCAAATAAGGTCTGTAGCTGCTGTCTAAAAAAATGTGAATAAGTTTAAATATGTTTTAGAACTCTTAATATTGCAGTCTCTGTCAAATATTTAGGAAATTATCTAATAATCTTACAAAAATAACATTTCACAAACAGACAGTTATGGAGTGTTTATCTTGAATCCATACCTCTCCCTCTCTCTCTCTCTCTCTCTCTCTCTCTCTCTCTCTCTCTC